TGCATCTAAAAAAAGTACACAATTTTATATATTTTTATATATAAAAAGTATACAATTTTATATATTTTATATATAAATATATTACTGATTAATCATACTAATGAAAAAAAATTTAGTAAGCTCCGACATTAGTGACCACATATAGTTTTGATTTACTTAGTTGACAGACAACCCCAATGGAGTATGCTATCCTATTCCTACCGATTATATTATTTGCTTAAATATTAGTGGAGTTGAGGCAACCTGTTTAAAAGTAAAATTTATAGTTAATTGGGTTAGTAATAAAAATGAAGAATCTGTAGCAAGTGAACAATCCGCAAATCATACTGCACAACTTTTTTTAAAGGTTAATTTATATTTATTGAACTTGTGAAGTAAATTAATATAAATATTAAAAAATACTTATTAATTTATATTAATAGAAATTGCGAGGAAATAAAAATTCTAGACTCTCTAACATTATTCTCTTTGGATTTGATCTAAACTGTCTAGATCAAAGGCGTATTAATGCACAAGCAAATTTAATTCTATCTCGTATTCGAAAAAAAAATATAATGATTTGAAATCTGAATCACAATAAAATAAACAATTAAAAAGTTTAGGAGAGAATATGCATAATAGCATTAAACAACAGTTTATTCAACATAATTTTCAACATACAAACTTAGAACATTTTACAATTCATGCTCTTAATCAAGGTATAAAGTTTCAACCTGCATCAAACAAGATTAAAGAAATAACTGATCAAGAATTGGATTCAATTGTTCATGCATGTGATGAATCATTAGTATCTCGAGATGGATACCGTCAATTGTCAGCTGTAATGCTAAATATGATATGTGAATATTTAATTACAGAGTGATGACAACTTATTAACAAAACTATGGATAATTTGATACCAATAATAATATTTCAAATTAATCCTAATACGAAATTTATGTTAGGAAATTTACTATCATTAGATAATTCTACAGATTCACTTGATAATATTGAGATATTATCAACAGATGTAGGAAATGGAGCTTATCGATCTTTAACTGCACTTTATCAACTATTATTCCTACTCTTGTTAATAAAGAACCTCCAATTATATATTATGGTAACATTATTAAATTAAAATTAGGTGGAGATGGACATGAAGTTGGAAGATCAAATCATCATATAATGTTTACAGTTTGTATCTTAAATGAAGAGAATAGTATACTTGATCCTGCAAAACAACACTGGTAATTATTAATTATTTATATTTATTTTTCGAATCTCTTATATATTATTAATTTAAACTTTATTTATTATAGTATATGTTTATATACTGCTATAGAAAAATTTGAATCTTTACAATCAGCTTTTGAGATTTTTATAGATGAATTAAAACAATTAGTTAATCAAGGATTTTAAGATAGCGAAGGAAAATTTTGAAAAGTAGATTTATAGTTTTCTTCTGACTGAAAGTTTATGGCACTTGTATTGGGAATTAATGATCCAATGTCATACTATTTTTGTTTATATTGTGACTGTCACAAAAATGAATGATGGGATGTGAATAAAATATGGATTAATAGTCAAAATATACAAGGTATATAATAATTATAGTAATATATAGTACTTTTAACAAATTCGATCTAAATAGTTCAAAACTGATCTGGTTATAGTAAATTTATGTTATAACTTATATACTAAATTTACTATAACCAGATCAGTTTTAAATCATTCAGATTAAACTTATTAGAAGCATTATTAATATATTAAAAAAATTATAATTTTAATTATATAATTAGAAAAATTTAAAAATCGTTTAAGTCTATTACTATTTTTACAATCTAATCACTGTGTACCTGATGAATGTTACATATTGTTGATGTTCTTCTTGAAGAGCTTTTTTACGAATTAATGAATTATCTAAATTTTGACTTCAAAAGTAAATCTAAATCAAAGTCAGAATTATTACAACTACAATTAGCAAAAATTAGTATTCGTGATCAAATTGAAAATACTATGGAATTTATTAGAGTGAATGTCTGATTTTATGATTCAAAAATTGTAAAAGGCAAATACAAGTGTTTAATGGGATTAGCAAAAAAACATTTATTAGAAAAATTTTCAGTAACAAATTATTTATCAGGATTACGTGGTCAAATAATTGAAAGGTTGTGGCGAGATTTTTTTAGTTTATACAAATTAATGCATAGTAAAGATGAGTTGGTAGATACAACTATAGATAAATTTGAAATTAATGCACAAATTGGTATCTACATTTTGTCAACCTACTTTAAAAAAAATAACTGGAGAAATTATACAAGAAGGAATTTATCAATATTAAGATGTGATATCTTATATGCATATCTTAGCATATCATATTCCAGCATTTATGCGATCACTAAAATCAGAAGATTTAAAGTTGCTATATTTATCATGTTCTAGTTTGGAAAAAAAAATTACCATCATGTAAATTATTTATTATTATAATTTAGTTTATTTAATTTAAACTAATATTGATTATATAATTTATAGGTTCATTTGTTTTTTGGTAAAGCTACAATAGGTGGTAAAAAAATTTGGCAATTATTAGTAAAAAAAATACAAAAATATGAAAATCATCAAGTTTACTTTTTAATTCATAAAACTCCAATTTTTTATTTTGAAAAAATTAGAGAAATTGATAGATCAAACAAATAATCCGTATTAAATTTTATTATAATTATCATTTTGTAATTTTTGATAATAATAAACAATATATATTGATATATTGTTAAATAAATTATATCAATATAAATTCTTGTTCTATCTAAATTATATTTCATATATGATAATTACTATAACTCAAAAATGATTCAATGTTTTTATACTTTAATAAATTATAAAAAAATCTAAACTTTATTATGTTTGATAAATAATTGCCTGATTAATATATCAAGATTACAGGAGGATGATTTTACAAATTCATACACCATATTTTTATAAATTGATATTTAAAAACAAAAAAAAATTAATTATTAATTTAATACTAACTAATATACTAAAGTAATACTTATTATCTTAATCATTATTTTTGATAAGAATTGTTTGGTGATATGTAGAAAAACTACAAGTCATAACTCTATAAAAATAAATAGACTCATATCCATTCTGAAAAATTTTGTGTAACTTTCATTTCCAACTAAAACCTATTTCTTTGTTAATAAAATTTTTGGTAATCAGATCTTGTTGTTGATAACTAACTATAGTTTCTCCACCAAACTTGTTTGCTTTTATCCACCAGTTAGAACATTGAAATATTTTACCAATTTGTTTTACTCCAGCCTGACCTTTAAATATACAATTATATTTGTAGCCAGATACTTGAAAGGTAAAAGTCTCTTGTTCTCAAAAGAGAAAATAAAACAAATTTTCTTCACATTGTACTTGAAATTTTTTTTTGCCTTCTGTTGTACAATGTGACTCAAGTCAGGATTGTATAGCATCAATAAACAAACCACAAAAGTGGTAATAAGAAGAATAAAGAGGAATAGAAAGAATATGTTGGTGTAGAACAATAATGTTTTGATTATAAAGTTTTCATTCATAAGCAACTAGGGAAGTTTTATTTGCATATGACTTATCACATAAAAGACAATGAAAAGCTTTGGCTGCCATTGGTTACTAATAAAAGTAAAGGTCGTGATATACAATCTACTGATATGCGGTGCGGCTTGCTTTACCGACACTCAACTCACTGACATCTTAATTCACCAACATTTAATTCACTAACAAGTTCATTTACCGACAGTTTATTTTACCGACAGCTCATTTCACAGACAAAGTAATTCTGGTAATCGTCATTAGGGTCAGGCCAGAATTAGAGTTAAAGTTAGTGTAAACTTGTCGGTAAAAAAAGCTTGTCAGTAAATTAATTGTCAGTGAAATGAACTTGTTGGTGAATTAAATGTCTGTGAATTAAATGTTGGTGAACTAAGATGTTGGTGAAGTGATAGTTGGTAAAATGATACGGACTCACTGATATGTATATTCATATTTATTTATATAGTTATACGTAATACAGTATATTATCCAAATTTGGAATATCACATTAATCATATTTAGATATCACATTGATAATATTTAGATATCACAAGTAATGAGCATCATTCGCCCATATGGACTCCATATAGGAAATTATAATATGCATGAACAGTACACAATGTCTTATTACCTTGCAGAAAGTCCAATTTTTTTAACAATATATAGATAGATAGATTGTCATGCACATTTTTTCTTCGTAGTACTTATGGATTTACAAGTTACAATTCTCTATCACCAATGAGAAATAAGCAGAGTTTGAAGAACAGAGATGTCTATGATAAGGCCGTTTGAATTTAAAAATTCGTTTAACGTCCCCCCCCCTACCACTGGAGCTCCCCCTCGACATTAAACAAGCCAATAGAAAACGAGTATAAAATGATAATTATAATAAAATTTAATACGGATTATTTGTTTGATCTATCAATTTCTCTAATTTTTTCAAAA